CTTGTAAGAGTTATTTCTCTTTGCCATGTTAAACATATTTATCTCACTTTATCCTTTGTAATTTACACGAACCTCTAAATTTTTAAAAAAATTTTAAAATGTTTTTGACAATATCTTTATTGGTTTATACATTATATATATTGCCACAAAGGTATAACAATAATATAAACATAGATCAACAAGTGTCACACATAACTTTATAAGTTCAAATAATCAGTTACTAGGTATTGCATAAAATATTTTGAGAAACATGTATATTTCTTTTCTTTACTCAGAATCAAAATTACAAAATACGACAAAATTGTACGGATCCTCTTTTTTATGTACAGAAAATATATACATTTTCATATATACGTATAATACCTTTATTGACATAGTATGGGGCAAGACAGAAACATAATGTACCTATATACTGTAGTTTTTAGATTTTATTGATCAGATATCACTTCAAAAAGTTAATAATGTTATTTTTCAGGAAAACATCACCTTATATCGGGTGACCTTAAGTTGAAACCATAAGGCGAATAACTCTTGTAAAAGTTACATCGTTTATTATTAAAACTTTCTATTCTAAAAACTATAGGAGATGACATCACAACAAAAAACAATGCATCTTATGGGTATAATTTGCTCAGAAATAACAGTGTTTAACAGCTTATATTTTCCCCATTAATGGTAAAAAATGAAAAAATATAAGTTATAAGCACAAATCTATTATATGTACAATTGATCTGCAAAATAAGGCCTATATTGAAGACTTTTCGGACAAATTGGTTACCTTATAAGTACATGTAATGTTTTGTTTAACACTGCCAAAGTTTGTTTAAGAGCTGCACAGACATCTTAATAATAGTCGTGGGATCAGATGCCAGTGAGCATCCCATTTCGACCAATCAGTCCCGCCGTGTGCTCCTTGTCATCGGGGGAAAACGGAAAAATTTGTCAAAAAATCAGTGTGTAGCTAACGATTTAACCATGGTTTAAAATAAGTCAGTCAGCATTGACTTAATGATAGATTGTATTTGCTGACAGCGTCAGTATACCGACCATAGGACTTACGAAATGATGACTTTAAATGGTACTGCTGATATTCTAGATCTTGCTTCTTCCACTTATTTGTCAATAACTTACTTGTTTTAGAACTGTTTATACGTAGAGCATAGTCTTGCATATCGAATCAACTGAGATATTTAAACTCCTTATGCAGGTAATGAATTTATATTGCTGCATTAGTAAGGGAAGTTAACGATTGTAAAGTTAAAGTCATCACGTTTATCATAGAACTTAGTTGTTAGATTACCACTAAAGCCTTTTTCAAGTAAAATATCCAAATATGTAAAAGATGTGTCAGACTCTGTGGTATCTTTTATCAAAAGCTCACGGGGATATATCGTATCGACAATAATTGTCAATCAGAATCTAAAAATCTTTTTAATGTCAACTTCACAGTACATTTGTGTACAATCAGAATGTTTTAGCAAAATATTTTTGTAAATGGCCAATGACTTTTTATGAAGATTCGGAATGCAATATGGATATTGTAGTTCAAATTCATTTTGATTCTTTGTGATATTAAAAATTTAAGAAAATTTATAAAATATGAAAAAGTTTAGAAAAAATTTAAGTCAAATTTTATTAAAGCACTAATATGAGTTTACTAGAAAGCAAAATTTCTTAGCACAAATATTTACTTTGAATAAATATATTTTACAAGTTTTGGAGAAAGGAACATTGCAGAAAATACGTTATAATCCTGGTTTTACACTTTCTCTCAAGTCACACGGTTTCTTTCCGTACTTTTACTTCTCTTTGCATTTCAAATTTCAGATTTTGATAAAAATACTTTGTTAAATCTTTGATTTGAACATATTTTTATTTAGTAAGAAATACATAAACGGTTTGGGCAGCAGGCATAGCCTATATAAGCCCTCTCCACTCTTTAATGACTAATTATTTAGTAAATTTTATGCACGACATTTTAAAACTATGAAGTAGTAATGAATCAAATTTTTGTGCAGTTTCTTCCTCTTTGCGTGATTATATATTTTCTGTTGAAGAACTCAGTATAGTTTTTTTAACATAAAGCCTTTATTTTCCAAAGTTTGATTTTATTATAAAACTTTACACTTAATTGAGGTACTCCGAGTATGATACTTATACATAAAGCTATAGGAAATGCAAGCTTAACATGTGTTGTCAATATAATATGATTCATGAAACGATATACTTACAACTGCAACAAACTTCAATAGAGATTTTCATAGTTTTAATAGCCAAGTTAAAAAAAAATGTTTTTTTAAGGTACAAACCCATATTCTTCCAATTTTATTTTGCATTTGTCCTTCTTGACTTTATTCAAGACATGAAGTGAAATCGACAGAAAGAAATGTTTACGTTAATGGTAATTTAACAACCAAGCTATATGATAAACGTGATGACTTTAACTTAATTTTCTATCGTCAACTTCCCTTACTTATGCAGCAATATACCTTCATCACCTGCATACGGAGTGTATATATCTCAGTTGATTCGATACGCAAGAGCATGCTCTACGTATGAACAATTTCTACAACGAGGTAAATTATTGACAAGCAAGTTGATGAAACAAGAATATCAACATTCTCGTTTAAAGTCATCATTTCGTAAATTCTATGGTCGATACAATGACCTTGTCAGCAAATACAATTTATCATTGAGACAAATGCTGACTGACGTTTTGTCCCCCGCTTTCGCGAAAGCGAGGGGACATTAAATCTCATTCGTCTGTCCGTCACAAAAACATCAACCTTGCCCATAACTTTTGATTTAGTGGAGCTATGACTTTCATATTTCACATGTGTATTCCTTTCTTTGGGTACCACCAAATTTGACCTTTTGACCTTGACCTTGGAGTTTGACTTTTAAACAAATAATCCCATACTTTTACTTTGGCTGTAACTTTGAAAGGTAGATACTAGGTCTTTCATTTTTCACATATATATTCTTTTATTGGATACCAACGACTTGGACCTTTTGACCTTGACCTAGGAGATTTCCGTACTTATGAAGAAACTTTAACCTTTACCATAACTTGTGAACAGTAAGGGCTAGGGTTTTAATTCTTCATATATGTAATCCTTGTGAGAAGGCCTTTCATTGGATGCCAAGAACTTTGACCCTTTGACCTTGACCTTTGAGTTTGACCTACTTTTCAAAATTTTTTACCTTTGCCACAACTTTTGAACAGTAGATACTAGGACTTTCATATTTCACATATGTATTTCATGTGGCATGACCTTTCATTTGATATCAACAACCTTGACCTTTTGACCTTGACCTTGGAGATTTTTCGTACTTACTTTACCATAACTTTTGAATGGTAAGGGCTAAGGCTTTCATACTTCACATATGCAATCCTTGTGAGAAGACTTTTCATCGGATACCAAAAACTTTAACCCTTTGACCTTGGAGTTCAGTGATGATTTCTATATAAATGACATATGATAGGGTGTTCAAGTTACACACAATACCCGGGTATGTCATAAAAATTGACATCTCATCCACAAAGACACCGAAAGCGGGGGACCACAATTCTTTGAATTTGCTTGTTCATACTTATTGTTAGTCCATTATTTATACACTGAATTGACGAAAATATTTTCCGTTATTTCCTGATCATGACAGGAGCACACGGCGGGTGTGACCGGTCAGCAGGGGATGCTCACTCCTCCATGGCACCTGATCCCACCTCTGATATTTCGGAGGTCCGTATTTGCTCTGCTACTCTTTTGTATTGTTTTTTGGACTTTGATATTGAATGCTGTTCGTTATCTCCATATCCTTCTTACGTTTTCTCCAAAATCATATAAATGGTTATCTTTTTTTAAATAGGATTTTACTTTTTATTCTCATTTTTTACATACCTTTCTTAATAAAATTTTGACCCATCTTTAATCTATATTGTATAAATGATGTACATTTAAAAAATAAGGTATCATTTTTTGAGTTTTATTGGGATGTAAAACGGGCTTTATGGAAGATTTGACCAGGTGCCAACCCGTTTTACATCCCAATAAAACTCAAAAAATGATACCTTATTCCTTATATTTACATTTGTGACTGATTTATTATAAATAGTAAGGTACTTAGGTAAAGTTTAAAATCCATAAAGTTTTTTTTTTCAAAACCCAACGGTATAAATTGAATGTGCTGATAACGTCGATCGCTTATGACGTCACTATCAAATTACGTAGATCGCTTATGACTAAACAATCAATTTATGGTCACATGACGAATGTGTTTTACGGAGATGTAAAATAGCCTTGTTCAAATAGTGTTATATAAGGGAAAACATTTGCAAATGTAAATATTATTGTATATAAAACATTTTTGTTCTCATTTGTATAATCTAGTACAATTGTAACTCATCCATCTTCAATGTATACTGTTTATTCAATGTTTATTGTTGTATGATTTAAACATAATATTTTTTTACTGAAGATTCCTTCAACGCGGAGTTATTTTAACATATCATGAACCACAAGAAACTGTCTTCTGGTACTGTTGAACACTCAAGCAAAATCTACCATCACAATGGATGAAAAATGGATGAAGGAAAAAAGGTTTTATGATATAGTTGACTTATTCTTTTTAAAAGTCAATACATGTATCATGACATTCGATCATCGACAAAAATTTATAATTTGACAAAACTGATCAATGCATCCGTTCCGAATGTAATATCACAAATGTTTAATATACTTCGCTAAACACACAAATCATATATCCTGGAGAATCCATATTTATTTCAAAATCTGAGGACTCTAGAATCAATTATTCAAAAATAAAGAATGAGCGTCATTTAAAATTCATATAAAAAGATAAGGTAAAAGCTATTATATTTTTCTTTACCAAAAATATTGTTTTTATGTAATATCAAGTGTTTTGTGTTTTTGCAAACATTATTTTTACAAAGCCTAACTTCCGTTTTTCCGGTCTGATAATATTTTCTTCTTCCGTATTTAATGCCTACTAAACAATGTTGTGATTTTTTAACAATATTGTAAACTATTAAGTGTTTATCAATAGCCTAGCATCCAAATAACGTGATAATTCAGGATCTTAGTAATTTCTCGTGCATCCGGAGAAGCCCTTGATTTATTGGAGGAGACAAGGAGTTCAAACGGGTTTATAAAGAGAGGTAAGTATCATGTACATCATATCATGGTGGAAAGTTAACAACTACTACCGGGTAACTATATTACTTTCCTCATATGTTTTAAAAGTTTGTTGAATACTTGAAAATTCGGGAGTAACATCTCACTAATTTATTTCAATTGGCAAAAAAGTTTTAAAATATAACCGTTAGATTTTATTTTAACCCGCAGCAAAATTAAATATGGAGTATGCTGCCGAAGACAGGCTTATCAACACAATTCTTGTAATTCTGACCGTTAGCCTTGTAGTATATGCATCCATACAATTTCGAAAGAGAACTCAAAGCAAAGCTATACCTGGTCCTAGGGGCTTACCATGGATTGGATCTGCTTTTCATCTTGGGTTGTCGAGCCTCCATGTCAAACTATCAGAAATGCGAAAGGAATATGGAGACCTTTTTCAGATTACCTTATTTGGTAAACAGATTATCGTTGTCTCTTCGTCGTCTCTGTGTAGAGAATTAGGTCAGACAGAACCATATGCCACATGGACAGCTAGCAGACCACATACGTTTGTCAGTAGGGTAGTTCTACGGAATCGGACAGGGGTCATATTCACACCTGATTATGACTCGGAGTACAAAAAGAGGAGAAAGATTGCATATGCTGTTCTAAGGGCGTATGGACAAGGTCTTCAAAGATTGGAGAACAGGATCAAAGAACAACTGGACTACATGATATGTGATATTAAAAAACTGTCAGGAAAAGCGATAGATCCAGTTAGCTTAGTTGATGATTTCATAATAGGAAATGTGGAGCTTTTAGTATGTTTTTGATTTATTTTTTCAGAGTAAAGTTACATTCAAACATTAAAAAGTATTATTTTTTATGTTTTATACTGAGTATTTTTTGTAATATTTAGTTAACGATTCTTCAAAATCAAAAGAACCTTATTCTTTTCTTTGATTAAGTTGATTGGGAAGCGATGTGAAAAAGACAGCGAAATGCACCAATTATTGACAACTTTTGACCATTCAGCCAATGTTGCAGCCGATCAGCGACATAACGCAATATACAGCATGTTTCCTTTCTTGATCAACTTCAGAAGCGAGTTTTCTACTGAATGCCGTAAGGTCATGAATATCTTACAGAAACTGCTAAGTGTTCTGGAAAGGAACTTGCCGGTAAGTAGTCACCATATTATAGCATGTTCTAATATTAAAATATTTTTTTTAATTATAACGTACATAATTTGAATGAAAGTAAAAGAAAGGACGCTAACATTAATTTGATTGTATTGAACAGAAAGATAAAAATATAAACGCACAAATAATAAATAAAACTATTCATGTAAAAAAAGTGTGGCAGTTGAAAAGATCTTTAAATCAAAATAATTTAAAATTTATCATAAAATCAAAAGTATACTTTTTTTATCCAGATCTCTTTGTATAAACTAAAATAAAACATCATAATGAGACTAAAACTTTCTTTCAAATTGATTAAAAATGTTATTTGAAGTGTTTTAAAATTTGCTTATCTTGCTACTATTTTTTTTTTTTTGGAAAATCTTTCCATTTGCTTATTATGTATCCCAACCGGGAATGGTTTGAGACATTCAAAAACAATTAATTTTATGATCAATTAGTTAAATAAATAAATATTATAAATATTATCAGAAATAAAGTGTACATAAATCTTTATATATTTTTTTCATTCATGCTCCCTAAAGAAACAAACGAACATACGAAAACACTTGTTTACATGTACATGAAAGTCAATGATTATAGATTCAGAGAAATAGAGAGCTTGGTGAAGAATCATTGATTTGCATAACCTACAAAGTAAAATAAATTGCTTTGAATATTTTTTTTATCAGATAGCACACAGGAAATTCTGATCATTGGTATATTTGCTAGAATGACTCCCATTGATAGAATATGCATGCACTAAAATATAAAGGGGTTTTGGTATCAAAAATTGTATAAAAAATAAGGTTGTTTACTTCTAATTTTTCAAATTTCTTTACACTAGTTTACATAAGAAAGTATTGGTTAGATCTTCTATTACTGATAAAATCTTTTGTACAATAACCGTCCGAAATTCATTTTAGCAACGTGGTGAACAAAAATAAGAATTCTTATTCGTTTGAAATCATATCTAGAGATGTGTATACGGCCAATGATGCTAAACGAAAAATGCTGATGAAATGTTTTTTATTATGTTATTATAAATGGGTCTTAACTTGAATCCATTGTTATTTTCTTCACTAGAATTACATTTAGCATGCATATTTTATGCTAAAGAATTGTAGAAAACAGAGACGTGCATAACATATCAATTATCTTTAGTTCAGAAAAGGACAGACTTTTTTTTATATATAAAAGATAAAACTTCATGCATGAACAAATTAATTTGTGATTTAACAACTTTGGTATATAGATCCCTGCCACTGATTTTACTTATCAGAAAAATCAATGTTAATGTGAAATCACGAGTAAAAATTTGTTTATGCTATTGTAATGTCGAAGAAATTTTTAAAAGTATTCTTTAGTGCATAACACATGTACATGTATATGATGCACATGATGAAGACAAAATTTTAGGGTGGATCCATAAATGGAATATTTATGACAAATTTCCATACACTAAAAAATGGTCAACTAAATCGACTCAATAGAAATCTAGACGATTGTACTCGCAAGGTCAAATTTTTACTTTGAAATTTTAATACCGCAATTGCAAATTTTAATTTAAAATGGTCAACTTTTTTGAAATTTCACAATTTGGTGACTTTTTACAATAACTTTCATCTACTTGACTAAAAAAGAAATCGATACGGCAGAAATACAAAAAATATGGAAAAAATGAAATAATTTGGCACTTTTCCAGCAAATTCCCATCGGATCCAATAGTAAAATTTGACAGCTTTTGAAATGCCTCCCTATGAATCGGGATGGTAAACATTCGTTTTTTTTAATACTAAAACGATAAATATACAGTAAAAATTAATTAACGAAAAATTATCAAAATCCCTAGGGTACAAATAATTAGACTCGGCCTCGTTAAAAAGGTACATAATGCAGACGTAATTTCAAATATAAACTTGTCAGAATATACCATTTTCAGAAATGGAAACCCCTTTATGATCTGAAAACATGAAGTTACATATCTCTCTGCTTTGTTGTTAGTAAATCTTTGGATTGTTATTGAAGAACGATAACACCTGTTCAGATGCGATGTACCCAGTTCTTAAAAAAGCGATAACAGAAGGGGAAATTGACGAAAGCAGCGCAGCCTCATTGATGGGGGATATGATGGCAGCAGGTAAAACAATTCGTACCTATAATATTCTCCCATTCGTACCTATATAAATCTTTTACAATGAGTATTAACTTTTACTTTGATTCTTTAGGTTATTTGACAACTAGAGGCACGTTGTTGTCCATGATAAGGATTTTACAATGTAGGAGAGATGTGTTACAAAGAATGAGGGATGAGATTCAAACTTTAATGGGTTCCAATGGCGGCACACCCACCTTAAATGACAGACCAAAGTTCCATTACGTTGAAGCATTTATTTTGGAAACGCTTCGTTATATTTCCCATGTTCCTATTACTGTGCGTAGGAATAGTGAACGATTGACAATTAGGGGATATGATATTCCAAAGGACACAACAGTATGCATACAAATACATGTATATTAAAGAATTTTTTTTCAATAAATTTTTTTCAGATGATTTACTAGTATGCAAATAGCACTATTTCCCCCCCCCCCCCAAATTTACCATAAAGAATTTCTCAAATTATCTTTATGAACAGAATTTTGAAAAAAAGAGTCAACTAACCCCATTGTATCGAAGACACATCATAAAATCATTCCGTATGAATAATTTTATATCTAATTAATAAGTTGCTCGTTTTATTTTAGATGATAATTAATTTGTGGGACATTAACCACACCGAAGAAGATACTCCCAGATCGTTTGATTTCAATCCTGATAGATTCCTGGGTCCTGACCAGTGTCTTTTAGCCGCCAACACTCCAGTGCGCAAGAGGTAAACTAAACAGTATATCAAAATATATATGAGGCAGTACCAAAATTGTCAGTTTAAGAGATAAAAAAAAAACATTTTTCAATCGTTTAGGAAGTCCGTATTCCATTTTCAGCAAGATTTCGTGTTTATTTTGGTCTTAAAGACATACGCTCTTAAAAGCTAACAAAGGAATAATAAACAGATTTATAAGTGTATTGTGTTATGCATAAGCTGTAGATAATTATATAAAGCACACCTATCTGAGGCTGCTTGTTATACATTTAATTAAGATAAATTGTAAATACATGTGGATATATCAGTATTTAAGATTAAAAGCCCATAAAACAATACAAAATATATAAGAGCAAAGCAAACACTGACCTCCAAAGCACCAGAGGTGGGATCAGGTGCCATGGAGGAGTGAGCATCCTCTGCAGACCGATCACACCCGCCGTGTGTAGGAGAGATGTGTTACATCTGATAATGATACCAACTATCTATATTTTGGGATTATAACATTAGCTAGACCGAAATCTGACCCTTTAACTCAGGTATCTGTTTAATAATTGGCATATTGGTACTATTGGTGTTGATAAACGACACTGTAGCTACTTTATAATTGTTTTATTTTCAGGTTTGCTGCATTTGGGCATGGAAAACGATCATGTGTGGGAGAAAATTTTGCTAGAAGTAGAATCTTTCTTTTCATAGTGACTCTGGTCAGCAAGTTCTCTATTACTGATCCTTATGAAAGTAACCCTCAATTATTTCACCCCTTGGACATGAGCCCTGGTATAGCTCTACAACCCCCGAACTTCAAATGTATTTTTCATCCACAAGACAAACCATACGAATAAAGAAAAATCCTGTCAGTGAAGGAATTTAAATGATAAGTGAGTTTTTATCTATGTCAAACACTTTGATGAAAAGAAATTCATTTGAGTGCCTTTATTTAGCAGAAATGAATACCAAACGCACTTGTTACTCAAAAACCAACACTATAAAACGACATTTTGAAGACAGATCACCTTTAAACACAATTTGAAGTGTTTTTATTTGTATTAAAGAACTAAATTGATTGTGTTTATGCTTTAACAAGGAGAGAACAGTGGTAGATGTGGGGCTGGGGAACGTAGGGAAAAATGTAGAAATAATGGCCATGTTCATGTCCCGCCCATCCCTCCGTTAGGCTTTAGGGTACCCATCTCTTATCCAAAACTCCTCCTATACCACTGAATGAAATTTAATGAGACCTTCATAGAATGTTAGTTACACAGGTAACGCATTGTGCACCTCCTATTTTACTTTTTAATCTGATACATATATCGAGTTTCCCAAAGCAAAATTTTGACACTGCCATTATTTCAATAATTTTGTAGGGTACCAATCTCTAATCCGCCATTATTCCTATTTATTTTCATTTCTAATTTTTTCTTTTCTAATCTTTTCTCTGTGATAGCTCTTTGAAAGTAAGTGCAGTTGATTTCTTGATAATTCCATCAGAATGTAAATTAGACAAATCGATAAGTAAGGACCTAAGGAGGCTTTTTTAAAAGGAATCACTGTTTAGTTAGTATACTAGTAGTATGCCAGGGCATCAACGATAATGGGAAACATGGGATAAAACATGGAATAAATTATCCCATGTTTCCCACTATATCGTTGATGTCTCTGGCATACTATACTAACTAGACAGTGAAACTTTATATTTCGATTTCATTGTGAAATAAAATTGTAGATTTAGACTTTAAAAATGTAGACATAGATTTAAATTACACAATGACGTCCATGATACATGTACATGTAATTTTTAATAGTTCTCGCCCACTGACCTAAAACACAAAGGCAGGCACACGAGATTTACATGCATATTAGGCCTTCTTAGCGTCAGACACAGAGACAGAAGCGCACGAGATTTGCATGCATATTATCAGACTTATCACTGAGAAAAAAAAAATCAGAAATGGAAATATATGTATGTAAAACTCGTGCGTCTGTCTTTGTGCCTGACGTTAAGGAGACCAAATATGCATATAAATTTCGTGCAGTTGTCTTTGTGTTTAACGTCCGTGGGCGAAGACTTCTGAATTTTGCAAGGAAGTCCTAGTGTAATTTAAATCTATTAGTCTACATTTTTAAAATTCTAAACCTTCAGTTTTATTTCACATTGAAATGGAAATAAAAGGAATCATTGCCTATTAAGTATAGTATGCCAGGGACATCGACGATAGTGGGAAACGTTTCCCACTATCGTTGATGTCCCTGGCATACTATACTAACTAGACAGTGATTCTTTAAACAACTTGATAAAAATTTAATGATATTTTCACATATTTTTTTATACATATATAACGCCATTGTGCACCTTTAATTTTTCTTTTTGATCTGACCTTTATTTAGGGTTTCCAAGAGCAAAACATGGACCTTGCCATTTTAATCATATGGGAGGCGAGAGTAATCATTTTAAAAACATTTGAGTTAGACTTTAGTATCTTTAATTTCAAGTTCACTTAGATACCCTAAAATCTTGAAAATAAGACGGATTTAATAATAAGCCGGTTTTGAAAATAAGCCACCTATTTCTTGCATTAAAAAAATATCGAATCTACAAATAAATGGGAATAACTATTGTTTGATAATGCATTTTCAATGTATCTACATGTCGGAAGCCACATTTTTTTCTTTTTCTCAAGTACTTTTTGAATGAATTCTGCTTCATATAAATACAAACTGAAATAAGTCTGTTAATAAAAGGTCTCCATTGGTTTCAATGGAATTCCAACAGATTTTTAGAAGACGTTGTCAATCAGAAAATGAAGTATCTTTTTACATGTGTATATCAACTTCAGAGTATTTGTGTGTACAATTGAATGTTTTTTAGCAAAAGAATTTTGCAAATGATAAATGACGAGGTAAGTTAATTTACAATTCCATTTTTATTGAAAAGGCAGCTGCCATTGCTGTCAAAAACCTTTGATTGTTGAAAGTTGTATGTTTAAATGTTATTGCGTTTGTTAAAATTTGTGATTTCAAATGTTTTAAAAGATCTTGAAGTTTTTGTGTATCCACATCATACTTCACAAATAAATTGTTGTATAGTACTCCTTCACTGTTGTTATTTTAATGAGGAATGAATAAAGAGGCATTGAGGAACATTTACAGGAACACGCTACGTATCTTTGTTTAATAGGTTCTTAATGTTTTTTTAGGAATCCAGTATTGATATGTTTTTTTTATTCAACTTGATTTTTTTTTAATAGCAAACTAAAAAATACAATGCTTCAACATCCATCTGATACATATAATATATTTTGACAAATATTGTTCTTTTTCATGTCTGGCCCATCCCATTGTGAAATCTTCCATAGAATCCATATTTAAAAAAATATAGACGTAAGATAAAAGATCAATGGTACATGTACTAAAATTTTGGCCCCCTGAAATAATTCGTTATGACGTATAATTACCTCATCAGTAATGACGTGTCCAGGTATAGTTATATGTAGTTTTAGGGCAAAGAACAAACATACATACAGGATTATGTTTCAGATGTTTGATGTCTAGGTTAGTTGACCTACCCCTATCCTCCCCTTCTAAATTTTAAAAGTATCTATATATTAATGTCTGTTCAGTCATGGCCCATGTTAGAGTGGGCCACAAAGTATTCAAAGTTTTACTCCAAGACCGTGTTTCTCATATGAACGTTTTATCCCAGAAGCCAATTATTTATGAAAGTCATCAGTGTGTATTTTACTAGTATTAGAAATCAATATTAATGTACCTTGAATTAAGGGTTCTATCAGAAGTTGATTTTGAGCAGGGAATTTTAATTATATTAAATTAAACTATAGTTGATCATTATTTTACCTAATGTTATCCCACTGTTTAAAAAAAATCCTGAATGTTCCAGTGTCAGTTTAATTTACCATGGCTGATGGGGTCATGATTGTATCAAATATACTCAAAAACAACTAGTTTACTTGCATAGATATCAAAGATGTTAATAGATGTTATAAATGAATCCTAATAACACCCTCTCATAAATATTTTCACCGATTATTTACAATTATAGGAAGTATATATTAGGAGTAATGCTGAGTGATCTAATCAAGCAGAACTTTCAAGCGAAAACAAAGAACCCAGGTTGTCAGTTTATTTAGCTTCTCTGTACCGGAAGTGTACACTGCGTGTACCATTTTGTGGTCAATAGCTCTCATGGTCTTCCGTAGACAAGCCTCAAAACACGGCGTATGGATAGGGATATCAAAAACATGAATATTTTTGGGGGGTGTTGAATGATAAAGTTTAGGCTGAATAATATTTTTCAAAGCTAAAATGAAATAATACATCGTCTCTTTCTACCATTAAGCTGCAATAGGGCAGCTGTTTTATATGCTTGGATTACTGAGTATCTCGGTGCTAATTTTTTAAACGTTCGTAAACAAATAATTTTAATTCAAATAAAATAGCAAAACCAGCAAATGAATAACGTTTGTCATCCTCTATGATATCAAGAGAAGAATTTATTTACAAACGTAGTGCATATTACCCGTTAGATCACATATACAGTGTACATGTCTGTTAACTAACTTTGATGTAAATAAGATCCCTGTTTCCTGAGGGCAGTACGGGGTCAAGTAAAAGGTCAAAACATTTCTACAGCAGATACTTCAAAGCAGCTTTTTAAGGATCGAGTTTCACTGTTAAAATCAATAGACAAGGTACAAAAACACGACGTTTCAGATAATGTATAGATTATACATAAAAAGAACAAAACAATGTGGATTTTTAAAGAGACGTATGGTTAAAAAGTAAAAATAAATGTATCAAAGGAGGCTTTCCAAAGCGTTTTATAAAAACAAAAACGCCTGTTAAATATAATACACCCATTCTCAATATAAGGGCTCAAATAATGTCGCCTCATTTTCATTTAAAAGAGATACCACTGATGTAATTTTTAAATCAACATTATAAATAGTCATATAACAATGAATAAGAATTCATATAATTATCGATCTGAAAGGGTGTTTAAGGAGTTCCAAATTCAAATATAGTAGCCTATTTGAAATGTACGTTACTGTCGCCGAGGCAAATATTATTCTGAATCCCCTCTGTGTAATATATAGTTTTGATTCTCAAGTAAAAATTTTCTGATAAGTTAAACCTTGTATCATATATGTTTCTTTTCATAACAATAAATACATTTTCTTTGTGATAATAAATAATTTTTATTGTGCAATGTCCCTGTCTCTTAATTCTATTTCAACCACATTAGAAGCAAACACAAAGATTATGCACCTGATAGTTTTGTTCTCCTTTATTTATTGCTGGGCTAAATTTGAAATTTCAAAGGATTAATTACTCCTACTTAGATAATGTAACATGAAATTGAACAATTTGAGCAACTTTTATAAATATGTTTACGGAATGAAAGACATTTTCAATCGTAGAGATAAGAAAGAAATGTACGTTACCTATATTCTTCCTTTAAGAATATATACTAAGTAGAAAATATGAGACGACTCTGAATAAGCAACCCCTTGTATCCTGTAAACTGGCAAAGACGTTTTGCTTAACACAATTAAGAGCCATTCTCTGTAATGATTTGAAATTTTATATAGGAGCTGTGGCACGCATAGTCTCAGAATTTCTCCAAACTCTCTATGATAAAAGTCATTGATACCCTAAACTGAAATAGGGCAAAAATTGGTTGCTATGTTTTATAGTTACCATGGCAACATGTCTTTAAAGTTCGAAAAATGGCATTTTTAAACATGTTTAGAGCCCATAGTTAACATTTGCGGCAAAGCGAACAATTGGCATATGACTGTTTCCAAAAGTTGAAGGTCAGATGTCTCAAATGCATGATAAACATGTTTGGTAAATCAACTATTACATACGTTACTATGGTAACAAATTATTCAAAAGTAAAAAAAAATATTCATTGAATTTTATAAGGTCATACACATAAAAATAAAAAGCAATTATAGGATGAATTGTGACCAAATAATAGAAAAAAGAGCCTTGAAACATATACCAAGAACAAAATATGATATTTCATTTTGGTTGGCAATGGTTG